ATATAGGGTGTTGATGTCATTAGACCACACCCCTTCTCATTACAGAGATGCACATCACCTAATATGCTTAATTGGTAGTAGGCTTTCCAGCCTATACAGCTTGGAGTAAGACAACATGCATGAAGAGGATGATGTGGACAAAATACTCATTTGCCTAATAATTCTGCACTCCCTGTAGAACTGAAACCATTTACCTGTTTCTAGTGGATTCTCCCACATTTCAACTAATCTAACCTAATTTAATGTCTCTGTTTTAAATCTGACAGACACACAAACACAGAAGCACACTCACACAGACCATCTCACATACTGATACAGACATAAACACACAGACAGACAGACAAACACACACACACACACACACACACACACACACACACACACACACACACACACACAAAAGTTGTGATTTTTTTTCTCCATTCACTTAAAAGGGAACCGTCTGAAAAAGTACACCAAACCAGCCACTTTGGATCCCTACTGCTCTGTAATACCTTATCACAAAAACATGATTTAAGGTTTATACGGGTCACAAGACTTTGGCTTGACAAAATCTATGTTTTGATATGTTTATGGTTTCTTCCACGATTTCATGAAGAATTTTTATTTTTCATGGAATTTTCCTGTGACTGCATGATCACATGACCTGCTCTAAAAATTGAGTCTGGAGAATAATGTGAAAAAAAATTATTTCTCTTTCTTTCATGCCCAAACCTTTTCTCTGACATGTATAATATTTACATTAAAATGTAGCCATTACTGTCCTCTTTCATCCAGTGTCATTCTCATTTAGATGGGATTTACAGTTCTGTCATAAATGTTATCAAAGTGCCTCCCCCATCTCTCTTTCCCATAGGAAACAATTTTAAAACAGCTCCCGAACTTTGGCTTAACTTCTCAGTCGGAAGCTGTCTTTACACTGTCACAATGTCCATATAATAAACTCTACAAATAAATAATTTTTCCAATATGACTTGTATTTTTCACTTGGGATGCATTTGTTTCAGACGTACATTTCTGTTTGTCGAATCTGATTCTCAGGCTGTTTCCAAATTTAGGGGCTGTATCCTTAGGAGGACACATTACGTCACACCAACGCTACGAAGGCTGTTCAAATTCGACGGCTCCTCCAAATGCAGCCTAGAAATGCGCCCTCCTTAATATCAAATCAGTGATTTATAGCCGACCTGTCAAATGATTTATGACTTAGGAAGTAATAAAGGAAGGAATAAAAGTTAATGACAGTCATAATTTTTGTGAAATATCATAAAATTATGATATTTCATAACTTGGTAATAATCAATAATCAAAAATATGATCATGAAAATATTTCGATGGAATTGGATTACTTTTTTGACAAAAAGTTTACTTAGTTTTTTTGATAAAAAATGCCACCTTATTGGACAACTGATTTTGGGGACCTGTGTGTGTGTGTGTGTGTGTGTGTGTGTGTTTTTTTTGCTTTTTTTATACTTTCAGGAAGATTAACTTAATCAAAATAAGTCATCAGACAAGCAATTTTGATGGACACTAATTAAAGTAGATTCATGCACTTGACTGGTTGATTTACTGGTATTTTAATCTTTGCTAACACCACATGACCTTATTTAAAGTTTGACTTCACCTACCAAAGCAGACTTTTTTGGCAGTTTAATCTAATGTATCGTGTCTGGGGGAAAAAAGAAAAACAACAACCCAAGAGTTAAATCTTTAAAGGCATCAGTTGCTATGTAAGCATTGTTACATGTTAAAACAGTTCAATTAGAAAAAGAATGAAGAGGTATGGCTGATTTGACAGGGCTGACAGGGAAATGTGTATTAAACATGGCAGCATGTATGACTGCAGAGAGCTTTCTTTTTCACATTACTGATGTTTTAACAAAAAGGAAGGTAACAACATTACAAGTTTTCGTGTTTGGATGTAAGATGCTGGTAAGTCAGATAGTCATATACTTTTTTATATTTCTTTTATACTTCTGAAAATGATTTTAGTGTGATTATAAAAATAGAAGAATTCATGAACAAACAATAATGAAACTAGGAAGAGCCTGTGTTTGTACTTTAAAGAGGCACAGGAAGGTCTGGACTTTATCTGAAGACAGCACTTAAAGAGAAAACTGGAAACTGCTGCATTTGATTGTAAGAGGATGAGTCGCAGTCTAAAAGAGTCCACTAGATGGCCCTGAATTTCTAGTTCAGGAACTTGGATTTCACATGTGTCTGATGTCCTGGGTCTTTTTCCTTTTGAATGTTAAGATTGACCTGTTGAGAACCACAATTTTGCACAGAGATTTTGGAGAGCAGGTGCGTGAGCCAGCAAAGGTTTTTACAAGATAAATAAGCTGAGCTCATTAGCAGTCCCTTTACATGCTTATGAATTCATTTATTTTAACACTGATACACTGATGCAGATGTCTTTCACATCAAAATTCAAAACCAGCAGACTCCTACAGAATTATAAGTTCGCACGGAGACAATGGTATTTGTATTCATTATTTTTACATAGAGTTTTCAGGTGATAATAAATCTCCCTTACCCTTCTTACTGTTATATGGCCTGATGCACAACAGAAGAGAGCTGTTACCCTCTGCTGCCTGCTGTAGTTGCCCTTTTTTTCTAGTTTCTTTTACTGCATTTTTTTGTCTGCAAATTAAAGGTGGGACCAGTTATAAAAAATAGTTATTGGGCATTACTTTTTAAAATTATGAATTGATACAATGGATCAAATTTAAAATCAAAAATATGAAATCATTGCTTATTAAAAACAATAAGCAATTGTTTTTAAAATTCTTGGAAAAAGAGCATTCATCAAAGAAGAGGCCTCGACCACCACCTGTATGGAGCCAAAGGAGTCACACACATCAAATAATTAAGTGTACAATAAAATATTGTTTGTTTTTCAAATATGACCACATTATTTTCATTATGGTTGAAAATCACCTTCATGCCTACAAATATAATTCACTAATGTTTTCTGGGCTTCATCGAATTTACTGAGCATCTGTGCAGAGACTTATCTCAGAGAAAACACAGGAATGATCAGTGAGAGCGTTATCAGACATCTGCACCAGAGCAAATTAATAACAGATATTGGCAGGGGTTGTAATGTTTCTACAGTTCCCTCTGCCAGCACCTTTTGACAAAAAGGAAGGTAAAAGCGTAATGTTTTCATGTTTGGATGTCACAGTGAGATGCTGGTTAGTCATATAGTCATATACTTTTTTATACTTCTTTTATACTTCTGAAATGATTTTAGTGTGATTATAAAACAGATTAAATCATAAAAAAGTAATAAAGAAACCAGGAAGTTACCATGTTTTACTATAAAGAGGCAGATGAAGGTTTGGACTGAAACAAAAGCTGGAAGCTGCTGCATTAGATTGTCAGAGGGTGAGCTGCAGTCTAAAACAGTCCACTAGATGGCCCTGAATTTCTGGTTCAGGAACTTGAACTTCACACGTGTCTGATGTTCTGGGTCCTTTTCTTTTGTTAAGAGCTGTTGAAAATCAATCTGCCATTGTTCTGTGTCCAGTCTGTGTCTTCATGTCTGCCCTGGTCCCACGTCTCTGTGTTCCCACTGTTGCAGTGTCTGTCTCTGCTTCTGAGTCTGTGTCTATAAGTTTCCTGTTTTACTCTGAAGGTCTGTGTCTTATGTTAATGTGTTTTGCTTCCCTTGCCACGTTAGGCCCGATCTGTCCCAGCCGTGTTTCCCTTCTGTCCCCCATTCCCTGATTACTCCTCTGTGTGTTTAAGCCCTGTGTTTTCCTTTGTCTGTGCTGTGGTCTCCATCTTACTATACTGTGTTCTGCCGGTTAGCCTGTTTTTCTTTTGTTAACATTTGAAGTTTAGTTAGTTTTCTGTTCTTTTGCTGAGTAGCATTAAAGCTGAGTTTTGAGTTCATATTCGTCTCTGTGAGTCTGCACATTGGGTCCTCTATTCCTGCCTGCACACAGCCTTCATTTGACATAAATCCCTTTTATATATGAAATATTTATGAATAGTAGTTTATTTAGGAATATTTATTTATAATTCTTTGTATTGTTCATTAATTTATTCATGAAAATAAAAAATAATTGTTTTGAATTAATGAATTTCTTATTGCATGCTTTATTGTACAATTAATTATTGAAAAACAAAATGTGAGATTGTTTGTAATCTTTGCTAACCACAACATGACCTGATCGCTGGATTGAAAGTTTTGTTTTTGCTTTAGCATCATTATTCCTGCGATGTGTTGACACAACTAAGTGTTTGAAAATGCTCTTGTGTTTCAAGCAGGCTTTTGTTTTCAAGCAACTCTGTCTCTTCTTATATGATGCCCTCTATTTATTTATAGTTCAGTTCAGTCATGACTGCAATTTGGCTCTCTTGTTAATCTTTAAGGTATGTTTAACCGCTGTTCACACGTGTGGTGTGGACGAGTATTTCTTTATCCCGCAACATGTTCTATTTAATATGCACTGCTATTGTTTATTTCTTATAGCAACATCCTTAAAAACACATTAGAGAAGAAAATATGATGATTGAAACAAGGTTATTTATTTTTTCTTTCCATTGTCTAAGCACTAACACTATAACAATTTTAAGACAAAACAAGTTTATGAAAATCAAACATCTCTTTAAGATTTACACCAAACTATAAAATATACTGTACAGAAATTTTGTTATAATGCTATTTTACATATTCACATACATACATATTTTGCACTTAGTGCAATATTTTGTCTTGTCACATACTGACATAATTGCAGTATTTACATAAAAAATAGTCCAGTTTGACATCTTTACATGAATTTGAGGATATTTCATCACTCTGAAATTTTTACATGTTTAACAAAACAGAAAAGCCAAACATGACAAAGCGTCATACTAAGGGCCATTCACTGTGTGTCGGTAGTTTATATTTGGTGATTCTTGGCTGGTGTGTCAGAGCTTAGACGTCTATAAACCGCCTCTCCTTTACTGATGGAGCTCTGATCTTGTGTCGACACAGTGGGCAGGTGCCAAACTCTTGACAGACTCTGGAGTCACAGTGTTTACACAAACACCGGTGGCCACAAGGCAGTGTGATTCTGGCCTCCTTCACCATGCACACCACACAGACGTTATCTATAACCAGAAGAGAGAGACTCTAATTACAAATGCGACATCAGGCATATGTGAGACCACACTATTACAACTGATTTCACTGATCACAGAAATGTGCAACGGAAATCAGACATTAATGTTTGGAGGGACTGTTTTTACCTGCTGGGATTTCCATGTCAAGACAGGACATGCAGTCATCAGGTCTGAAGTCTGAAACATCAGGAACTGAACCAAAGTGACTGTAAGAATCAGGTGAGATGAGCGGTTCGGGTGCAGGACAGGATCTTCTAGTGCAAAGGAGCTTTGTTTTTTTGGAGCCTGCAGCAAAGACAAAAGCATATTTCAACAGTTATTCATTGTTTATCACTGTCAGAGCATGCTCTGCCTTCACAGAACAGGAAAAACCTGTTGTAAGGCAGATAAAACTGTGGTTCTAGTGAACTTGCCTAGGAGTAAAATGGAGCGCGTCTTCCCGTAAATGTCTATCATGGCCCACAGAGGCTGGCTGAGGTCCACTCCTGTCAGCCACTTGTGCTGCCTGTTGTTGACAGCTACGTATATGCTGCCACCATGAGAAACCCAAAACTCCAGCTCTGAACCTGCTTGGCAGTAGGATTCATTTACAGGCACAGCCCAGTGTCCAGGTTTGTCAGTGAGGTTGGGGATGGCCAAGCAGGGCAGGGGCAGAGATCTGGCTGAGGGTGGCACAGTGGTAAAGCCCACACGCAGAGCTCCCTGCCAGTTGATCGAATCCCTCTCCACTCTCAGATGAATCTTCTCCTGGACTCTCACTGGACGGTTGCTGAACACCAGCCCATTCTTGAAGGTGTTCTCAGTCTTCTCTGCGAGTCGACCTCCATGATTCAAGCGGACCTTTTCTCCCACAGCCTGACGGTGGAAGTTCAGACGACCAAGACAAAGCAGACTGCATCTGTGTGACACCTCTGACTGAAGAACTACAAAGAATAAAAACACACAGTTATGAATGTTGATGTGAAATCATGTTATTTCCAGAGAATTACTTAATAGCAACAATCACAATAACAATAAGTGTCCCTTACATTTGTGATGTGTAGGAACCTCAAAACTTTTTTTTTTTAACTGAAATTAGGTTTGTTTGTTTTTTTGCCTGTCCCGTTTGGTTCTTTTGCCATCAGAATTATTGTCTTAAGGCGAGGAAAGATGCCCAACGGATTTACTTTACCAAATTGACCATCACAGCCTTGCCGTAATGGTCTATTTGATTCACCTTTTATTGTTTATTTTATTTTTATTTTCACTTGCTAGATACAGGACAGACTTGAATACAGGACAGACTTGAATTGAAATGAGGTCAACAAAGATTTTTTCAGTTTAAAGGTCAATTGGTCATGTCGCAAATTTTTATAATTTTCATTCTTATAACATAATAATAATGATAATAATACTAATAAAAAAAATGCAAGCTGTGTTAATAGGTGAATTGCCATATTAATTGGATTAAAGAAGCTACATATGTCAAGCTGTTTTTAATACTTCATATTAAAGTTAAATTGTGCAAACTGTAGCCAAAATTTCATTTTCATTTTAACAGTACAAAAGCAGACATATAAATAAGTCGGAATAAAACTAGCAAACTCCCGCACTCTCGTTTTTTCAAAGCATGCGGAAATCTGGGCGTCCTCCAAGCTGACGAGCTAAAGTCGTTGCACAAAGTTGCATTTGTTTGGTACAAGTTGTCTGAGTGGTAAACTTAGTTCATTATTTGGCACTTTGCTTTGTATTGTGTTGTCTTAACAGGGATACTACTTCTTAAATGACAAAACTAGTGCTGCACTGGAGCACATGCTAGATTTGGGGAAATTTGCAAAATCTTTTGAGTTACAAGACAAGCTGCAGCATTCTGCACCCCCTTACTGTGTATTACAATAAAAGTACATAAACAGCTGTTATGTGTTCATTTATGCAACTAAGTATCAGCTTGATAATGATTTGTTTATCAAACTGAGAAATATAGTTCTCTCTAAAGACTTACCAGAGTTCTTGTTTTTATTTTCTCTTGCCATCTTGGAGATGTAAAAACTTGTCATACAAGTCTTGATGCATGATGAGGTCGAGTGTCCTCAAGACAGGTGTGTTGACTACCTTTTAATCATGGAGTACGTGAGGTTTGAAAACAGAAACACACCCAGACAAAGGGGAGGGACAGAGGGAGGCACCAAAGTTTGGAAATTTACCTGAAGTGTACAATAACAGAACTTGGTGATCTGGGCTTTTATTGTGGATTCCCAGTTTCCTTTCCACCCTTGTTAGTTTAGTATCTTCTCTTTGTGCATTTCCCTCCAGTAGTTTGTTGTTGTTGTTTTAATCAGCTGATTGCCATTCAGTGTGTACATGTAACATCTCTATGGCTCTTCCAGTTTGAAATGCCACATGAGTCTAATCTTGCAATCACTCATCACAATAGCAAATGCAATAGAAAAAAATCTAAAACACGAAAATCGAAACATTTCTTCTATTTTTTATAGTTACATTTAATGTTTTATAATAATAATACAAGTTTGTTGTTGAGTTGGTGATATACTTCATATGGCTTTAGCTGGATAAAACAAACTACGTATTCAAAATCTTTTCTTCATATTTATTTAATAAATGTAAATTGTGGGAAATATATCCAAAGTTACCTCTTAGCAGTGTAGATATAGTTAAACATGTAATAAGTCATAATGAAACTAGCAAACTCTTGTGCTTTCACTTTAGAGAAGAATGTGAAGATCTGGACTTCATCCAAGATGAGAAATTAAAGTCAATGCTGGAAACTGCAGCGTTTCTTTGGTAAAGTCTGAGTTGCAGTTTTAGTCACTAGATGGCTTGTCTTGATTTGTTTTGCTGATGTGACACACCCACACGCAGGTAGTTTGTCAGTGTTTTATCGTCAGTGACAAGATTTTTATTTCCACAGAACCATAAAGTTTGTAGTTTCTTTTTCTTATCGCCATCATTTAACACTTCAGTGTGCAGCTCATTATTAGCACTCTTTCTTTGAACTCTAATTGCTTTACGGCACTTTGCAGCTTTTTAATGCTTATGTTTGCATTGTCTTGTTTTTGTGTCACTTAGACGACAGTTAAAACTCTGATTATTTCTTACCTTTTTTAAACAAACCATACCAAGAACAATATATCACATGAGAGGGTATGGAGTGAGCTGTACAACACACTTTTTGGGGGTTTTAACAACGCCCCTATGACTACAGCCCTGGCCTTTCAAGAGGAGTTGCTTGTTGCACTAAGTTCTCATGTTTTACTGTTCTCTCACCTGTACCACCTCAGTGGTTTCCCCCATTTGCTATGTTGTTCTTTCCATGTTTTTTAATTGATTTCAAGTTTGAGCATGTTTGTTTTATCCCTCACGTTTATGCTTTCCTTCTCTAGTCTCATTTCTTTCCTCAACCTTTTTTTTTCACTCTCTCCATGTTTTAGATTTTTTGCCTGTTTTTTGGTTTTCAGGCTTCATCTGCTCCTCCTGAATGGTTTGATTCCACAAAATGACTAAACGGACATTTCTGATGACTTCGATCCAAATCCAAACATTCACATTTAAATAATTATATAGTTCAAGTTCGAGTTCAAGTTTATTTATATAGCACTTTTAAAACAACAGGTGTTGACCAAAGTACTGTACAATAAAATGGACAAGGCAATAAACATAAAAAAACTGAATAGTGTTTTAGAAGAGAATAACATCCTTAAAAAGAGAATAAAATCATAAAAAAAGAATAATAGTAACAAACTCATGATGAACCAAAGGCCAGAGAATAAAAATGGGTCTTTAGACGACTTTTAAAAGTATCCAGTGTTGGGGAGGATCTGATATGCAAAGGCAATGTATTCCAAAGTTTGGGGGCAGTCACAGCAAATGCCCGGTCTCCTCTATGTTTTAATCTGGACCTAGGGATAACAAAAAGCATTTGGTCTGCAGACTTCAAGGATCTTGGGGGAGAATACCAGGTTAGGAGATCAGCAAGATGTGTAGGGGCTAGTCCATGCAACGACTTAAAAACAAGTATTAAGATCTTAAAGTCAGTTCAAAAGCTGACTGGCAGCCAGTGTAGTGATGGAAGTATAGGAGATATATGATCTCGCTTGCGTGTGCCAGTTAGGAGCCGTGCTGCAACATTTTGAACTAGCTGCAGTCGACCGATTGATGAAGAGGTGAACCAGAGTAGAGACTATTACAGAAGTCGAGGCGAGATGAGATGAAGACATGGATCGCTTTCTCAAAATCTCTGAAACAGAGAAAGGGCTTAACTTTTGTAATTAGGCGAAGATGAAAGAAACTGGTTTTGACTACATTATTTATCTGTTTATCAAATGTTAAATTGCTGTCAAAATCACCCCTAAATTTCTTGCAAATGATTTTTTATAATTTTCTCAGGGGCCAAGGTCATAATGGTCAGAAGGACCAAAGACAATGACCTCAGTTTTCTATTCATTAAGATTTAGAAAATTTAGAGGCATCCATGCTTTGACATCTTCTAGACAATCAAACAGTCCCTTCAGAGGATTGACAGATTTTCATTTAGTGGAAGGTAAATCTGAGAATCATCTGCATAACAGTGAAAAGAAATTCCATATTTTTGAAAAATAGATTCCAACGGGAGAAAAAAGGATTGGACCAAGGATAGAGCCCTGGGGGACCCCACAAAAAGGGTCCTCTTTGGAGACAATGTGTCTCTGAATCTAACAGAGAAAGTACGATTAGATAAGTAGGATTTAAGCCATTCCAAAGTAAGACCTTTAATTCCGGCACATTGTTCCAGTCGAGAGATAAGAATCCTGTGATCTACTGTGTCGAAAGCAGCACTGAGGTCTAATAATATTAAAATAGCAGAATCTCCAGAGTCAGTAAAAGTTAAAAGGTCATTAGAAACTTTTAAAAGAGCGGTTTCAGTGCTGTGGTGCGTTTTAAAACCAGATTGGAATAGTTCACCAATGTCATGTTATTCTAAGAAGGTCTGGAGCTGCAGAAGGACAATTTTCTCCAGCACTTTTGACAAAAAGGACAATTTAGAGATTGGGCGGTAATTTGATAGAACTGTTGAGTCCAGATTCTGCTTTTTAAGGATGGGTTCCACCACAGCATGTTTAAAATCAGAGGGAACAGACCCAGACTGAAGACTGCTATTGACAATAGAAAGCAGACATGTACCAGCAGTGTCAAAAACATCTCTCAGTAACCTAGGTGGAATGATATCCAGGGTACATTTTGAAGGTCTCAAGTTTCTGACAACTTCATTAAGTAATGAAAGGGATACTGGCTCGAAGTGATCAAAAACAGCCAAGGTTAGAGTATAAACACCTGGGTCAGAAATGGGAGGAATAATGTGGGATCTAATATCTACAATTTTATTAATGAAGAATTTCATTAGATTCCAACTTATGTTCACTGCTATATGAGGATCAGCAGTGGGAGGATTAAGAACTGAGTTTATAATACCAAATTAAATCCGAGGTTTATGACAGTTGTTGGACACGATCTTGGAAAAGTATTTTATTTTAGCTGCTCTTACAACTTTCTGGTAACTTGACAGGGATTCTCTAAGTGCCTCAAACGACACTTGGAGATGGTATTTTTTCCATTTTCTTTCTGCTTTTCTAAATGCCCGTCTCCATTCCCTGGTGTCATTATTTAACCACGGTTGGGTTTTAGGTTTTAGATACCTAGTGGTACAAGGAGCAATGGAATCCAGTATTTCCAGACAAGCTGAGCTGAACAAGGAAAGCAGACTATCAGTGGTCGAATGAGTGGTACTGTCAGTAGGTAATGCCGGATTTAGATTTTTGTAGGAATGGGCAAAGCAATCTGCTGTATTTGAATTAATCGTGCAAGATCGGAGCTTGAGCACAACAGATCTACCAGGCTGACCTGAAAAGGGAAACTCAAATAGGACAGGCATGTGGTCCGAAAAATGTATATTACAGATTTCAGTGTCAGTGACTGATAGGCCGTAAGAGAGTACGAGATCCAGGGTATGACCGCGTTCGTGAGTTGGGCCTTTGACTGACTGGACAAGATTAAAGGAGTCTATAAGGTTTAAAAAAATCATTGGTCAGTGGGATATTTAAACAGCAAATATGAATATTAAAATCCCCTACGATTAAAACACTGTCATATTTTGGTAGAACACCAGCCAAGAATTCAGAAAAGTCTTGTATGAAGTTCTTATTATAGTTAGGAGGTCAACACACCAGCGCACATAGCACCGGAGTGGACAAGTGGATTTCATATAAACGTATATTTGTGGATTAAAGGGTAAAAATGTTAAAGGATAAAGGGTAATGTTTGGTGACAACAACATGACCTGATCAGTGATTTGAGAGTGTAATTTTTTTATGCATATTTGCATCATTATGCTTCCTACGTGCAAACACAAATGCACGTTTGGAAATGAACACATTGTAGCACATTTCTGTTCTTACAATCAGCCACACAGTTTGCTCTTATCTGAAAACCAACATTTATTTTTACTTCCGCTCATTCCTGACTGTAGAGATATGAGCTAGACAGATGCTTCTTTTCCTAAACACACTTCACTGAAAAAATTGTTTTTGAGGGTTTTGTTACAGCATGTACCCTTAAAACATAATAGAGTTTATGTTTTTTACCATCAACACATTACAATTTTCAGACATACAAAAATACAACACTGCTTTAAGATTTGCATCGAGGTAGAAAAGTGCACTGTACAGACAAAGTTATCATTATAAATAATATAGAAATAGCAGCAGATTTTGCATTTAGTGCAGTATTTTCACTGTTACAGTCACTCTGTAA